AATAGATGAACAAGAAATAATGATATCCTTTCACGTCACAGCATTATATACCTCAATCGAAAAAAAACTAGCAAAAGAGACCATGGAGCAATTATTTAGCAACGACGAACACCTCCCACAACAATCAAAAATGCAACACACAAGCTGGATGGAATGCATAAACCTATGCCTAACAACGTACTTCCAATTCAACGGCCAAGTATTTGAACAAGTCAAAGGAACACCCATGGGATCGCCAATATCAGGCTTGATTGCAGAAGCAGTGATGCAAAGGCTCGAAAGCATAATGATACCAAAGATCAAACCAAAAATTTGGATAAGTTACGTAGACGACACATTAGTAATAATCAAAAGAAACGAGTTAGATAAAACTCATAACTTAATAAACGACGTCTTTAACGACATCAAATTCACAAGAGAAGGGGAATCCGAGAACAAAATACCATTTTCGGACGTCTTAGTCAAGCGAACAACCACAAGGGAATTAGAAACTCAAGTTTATAGAAAATCAACTCACTCAGATCAATCCTGAATTACAACAGCAAAAAACAATCCAATAACACACAAAAAGAATTGCATACAAACACTATTCAAGAGAGCCAGAACTCATTGCAGCACCTTAAGGAAAATTGAAGAAAGATATCTCATGGACGTCTTCCAAAAGAATGGATATCCATGGAATTTCATCAAAAGACATATACCCCCAAGCCAACCTATCAAACCAAAAGCCTCCAAAGAAAGCACAAAGAAAATCGCCCTACCATATATAAAGGACACCTCAGCAAGACTCTTCAAACCTTTAGGAATTGATGTCGCACACAAACCAACAAAGTCACTTCACTCAATTCTATGTCAACCGAAAGACTCAACAGCGAAGGAAGATAAAACCAACATCATCTGCAAAATAGATTGCATCAACTGCGAAAAACACTACATTGGCCAAAATGGACGCCCCCTTGGTCTTCGTATCCACGAACATAAGCCAGCCGTCAAAAGACGTGATATCCGCTCCCTCATATCATGACACACAGACAACCACGGATATCAATTCGACTGGGACAAAGTTCAAATATTAGACAGAGGAAACAACAAAAATGCTAGAGAATTTTTAGAAGCATGGTATTCCAGTGAGTCATCAATCAATAGACACATCGAGATAGACAAAATTTATCAACCGATAAGAAAGAAACGCCACACACAAAGGGTCAAAGTTCAAGTCAAAAAAAAAACAATCAGTTCCAATACAAGTAGCCTAGAAGGTGTGAAAACACACAAAAACAACCAATCACGTCCGAGGTCACCAACCAGGAGAGATGATTAATAAACTCGTGGAGAAATTTCAGAGCTCACTTCAAACTGAAGTATGCGCTGAAGATGTCGCCTAGTGTGGCGATGAAAGCTTCGCTAATTAACTATCCAGCTCAGAGAACACAACCACATCAAAAGTAATAGCACACAGGCTGTTGAATTGATTTTTTGACTAGAGTGCAGAAAAACATATTTCTTCTTGACCTCAATCGTTGCACTGTTTCTAAATGAGTTTACAATAAATCTATATATTTGTTAGATGATGTACTTACATAACTCTTGATGTTTGTAATCCAATAATTAGTTGAAAAATTAAAAGTGCATTTTATCCCATGACTAATGATTGAATCTGAGCACCATCCCATTTTACGCTGATTATTTTCTAAGTCTAACAAATGGATTTTCAATTTAACTTTCTCAGTATTAGTAAAATGACTCTTACTAAATTTTTATTGGGTATATCCCATGATGAACAAAAACAAGGTTCATTAAAATATTTTAAAAATGTGAGGATAATCAAAATCTTTGTTAGATAATTGGTTTTAGCAGTTGTGAGAAAGTGTATTCAGAAGATTCTACTTAGATTTCTAAATCGTTTCCATGATAACTGTACGCTTTGTTATTGGACTTTTGACTGAAATAACTTTATCTTAAAACTTATACAAGTATTGGTTTTGTAGGGATTTTTTTTGTTTGATTACATGGAGGATTTCATCATGAGCTGACATCAGTTAGAGAACCACTGAAAAACCTGGGAGTACGGGACTGATGAAGAGTCCCAAACTAGGATGAAACAGCTGTCCAGTACTCCCAGGTTTTCCAGTGGTTCTCTAACTGATGTCAGCTCATGATGAAATCCTCCATGCAATATTCTAAAGTGTAGAAATGTACGTCAGTGATTCTATAGTAGAACACTTACTAACCACCCGGGAGTTCCGGGTTCGATTCTCGGCTAACAAAGGCTTCACACTACTCCTAGTTCACTAGCCGACTGTTATCCAGGAAAAGAAGAAAGTTTGGAAGTGAGGCTAGCAACCAAACACCGTTGAAACAACAACATCATTACTAAAACTGGAAACATTGAAGTCCTGTTCACGAGAAGTAAAAATGTTTTAAGTGGCCAAATTTGGCGTTATCATAACTGATTATTTTTGCACGTTTTGAGATTCCATTTCAAAGTTTGTTTGCGTATAAAATGGTAGACCTCCAAAAGCAAACTACCATTAAAATCAAGTAAAATAATTGTATTGAAAATAGTTTACTATCTGCTGATATCTCAGTTGGTGTTCTTTGCACTTAGGCTTATTATACACTATTTGTTGAAATGACTCAGTCTCTAATTATTTCGAACAGGAGAAGAATTAGTCATATTGGCTGTAAAAAAAGATTGCTACTCGATTTTTCACAAAATATCCATCCCATTTTGATCGAGTACGCCACCAAAACTAAACTGCACTACAAACGTCCTTTATCACTAAATTTATGATTAGGCGTTCAGCAGATATCCATTTAAGAAACTAATGAGACTATCAGAAATACAACACTGTAGTATATTCATAGGTAGACTTGCGTCGTAAGAATGAAAATGGCAAGAAATGATTCTCAGACAGCTGTTTGACCTTCTTTTCATATTTATTTTCTCAAAATCCTACATGTTAAAGATACATTTGAATATGGGAATGTATGTAAACATTCACATTAAGGTTTCAGAACAGTAATTTAAGCAGCACTTCTTCTAGAAGACATTTTCAGTGCAATTTTTGAAATAAAGAGTTTTAAATTCTCTAATAATAAAAAATTTTTAGTACATTATTAGGACTAGTAGTTGTTAGCAGAAATTAAAAAAAACGAAAACCAGTATCTATTTAAGGTTTAAAGATGTACAATGAATAGTTACTAGTTTTAGTCTCATACGAATGCATTTTTAACAGGAATAAACAGAATATGAAATTAATATTAGATGGATGTATGCAATCACCAGAAAGAGTTGGACCTAAGCTGGCACTCGTCACTTGACACTTGTCTGATAGAATTCAGTTTTCACCAAACAAATGGCTGAACACATTACATTCTCTCTGTCTTTTCTTTTTCCTTCACGTTCCCAGTGGAACATAGAGCCTCAAGCTAGTGGCTTGAAGTTTCTGTAGCAGTGTTTATTTTACAGGATGGAGTTGCTAGCCTCATGCCCAACCATTCCTCTTCACCAGTAATATTTTTGGCTTAGTGAGGTAAAGAAGTGCATCGGCCGGGGATCGAACCCCGGACCATGTGCATGGTCGGCGAGCGTCCTAACCGCTATGCCACCGACGCACTAAAGAGTGCGTCCGCCGGGGTTCCTAAGTGCGTGGTGGCGTACGCCTGTAATCTAGCTACTTGGAGGCCAGAGTGTGGAGTTTCGCGCGACCGGGAGTTCTGGCATATGGGCGCTCATGTTGATCGGGCGTCCACGCTAAGCACAGCGCCGATATGGATGACCTGTCGGAGGACAGGTTGTCCAGGTCGACTAAGGAGGGGAGCACCGGACCAGGGGGGAAACCCAGCAGGCAAAAGTCCCCGCGTGATGCGGTAGCGGGACACATTACACTAGTTACTAATTAGTGTTCAGTCAAAGTGTTCAATGCATTCCTACAAGGAGTAAGTCGCGAATCCAAACAGCTCGGTGGTGATGTCTATGACTGCAGCAATGGGTGACGTGGGCTCCAGTCTCAGAAGCTGCATGGATTCCTCCAAGGTTACAGCTGTTACAACTGTCACAAAACCTAGGACCTAGGCTTCCTGCTGACTGCCTCCAACCATCTATTCACAACGTTTCACACTGCATCTTGATTTTGAGCCACCTAGAATAGTGGCCACATTGCAAACTTAACTGATGGAATTTAGTCTACATCAAACAAAGGAATAAATATATTCCAATAGTTACCAACTAGTGTCCAATCAGAATATAAAGCTAATGTGTACAGTCTTCCATTATTTCATTTGTCATGAGTTGTACAAGTTCATGTCTAATACAAAAGAATAATATTTATATTTTTTCCAAATACGTGTCAACTGTTAAGCATTCTGATGTTTCTCATGGACTCAAAGCAGTAGACACTTAATTCATCTTTCTATATTTAGTATGAAAATTATAACCAACGGAAGTGTACACTCAGAAGGTTATCTAAGAATTCACTAGATTGTAATGAATGTAGCCATATCTTTACAAATTTTGATCAGAATCTTTTGGGCAGGTGTACAGCACTGTTAATTAGCTTAACAGTATGACAATAAAAGCAAAGTAAATATGACATTTACTTCAGAAGTTATTTTCTATTTATTTATTTTTTTTTTTGAGAATTATGAAAAAGGTGTCATTAGAGTTAATTTTGATCCTGATTCGCCTAAATACAAGCAATAAATCGTGATAAAATAACATTTTGGCTATAAATGCTAACTAAGTATTTTAATAAATTCAGTTTTAATACTCTGCTTAATAGTCTTGTGTTTTAAGTGTATGCATATTCTCTGCACATTGACTCATTTTTAAGCCCAGATACTGAGAATGAGAACCAATGAAAAATAAATTGAATTCTATATTCTTAGGTTTGATGTTATTCTGATTGCGTTATTTTTCATATTGATTATGAGTTCAAAATGTATAAAATGTTGCATATTGTTTATCTTTATTTCTTATTCAAAATTCCAGTTAGAAAATGAATTTATGTGAATTGGAAAATATGCATACACAGATAAAGTGTTATACTGTTGGTCAATTGACAACAGAATTAACCACTCCTGCTTTTAATCAACTGAAAACTGAAGATTTACATGGATATCAAGAGAATCACTGTAATACATCATATCGCAGTTGTATTTTCATGGATAATAATAATAATAACGGTTCACTAACTTCCCTGAACACAGACAACATTTTTAGTCATCAAATAAATAGTAGCAATAATACATACTGTAATATCAATCAAAAGTTTTCCCATCATGGTAAACATTTACAAAAACATAGTAATGTTAATGATCAAGAAGTAACCCCTAACTATGACTACATGAACAGTGATATCCCATGGACAAGGTACTATACAGATAACCTAACAAATTCAGTCGAAAGTTATGATCCCAGTGTACATACGAATAACGACCGTAGTAATCTTTCCAACGAAAATTATTTAACCTCTAGTTATCATTATGATCATCATACCGGTTCTTCACAGACGCATTCACTTTCAAGTTATTCAGTAATGAATGGTATCGAAAGTTCATATTTCACTAATGACGACCATCAACACTGTTTAAATGGAACTGTTCAGTCAAGTGATTTGAATTTTTCAGATTTTCATAATAACTATCATGGAGACAGAAAATCTGATGTGATGAGTTTTATGAACACTAGTACTATTGCATCAGATAATAATTGTATAAATGATTCACTGGTAAACGCATCAATAAATTCCTTAAGTAATCAATACTGTGTATCACAAGGGATAGTCCTAGGAAATTTAAAATCGTTTAATTCTATGGACCAGTTTAATTCAGTTAGTTGTGAGTGGTTAGGTGGTCAAGGCAGTATAGAGGATAATACAAATTGGCGAAGTAGTTGGAAAAGCAGTATAGAATATGATAATCAAACGAATGGTCAGTTATATAACCAAAAAAGTGTTACAGATGAATTCAAAACTTTTCAGTGTCTCAGTAAGTTTTACCGTTTAAGTGTGTTCTGCGTTGATTTAAGCAGTGGTACTCGTTTCATGGTAATTCACATTTTTGATGAGAAATAATTATGTCGAAACACTTAATTCATTTCATTTAGCTTTGTGTGTAAAGAAACAGCGGAGAGTTTCAATTCACTGTCTAAACCTCAGTGACTTCCAGAAATCAGATGTCTCTTTTATCGAATGCACTGCATGAAAGTTAATAGACTATTTTGTATTTCACTGGCTTACTGTATCATTTGTAAGACCAGTCGCCCAGGAGATTGGAAAATGTACAATCATTCCCATCAATTTCTGGATACGTTAAACTGTTTTGGACCATACTTCAGTAACGAAATTATAATCTGTGATTCTATTTTGTTCTCTAGAATGGAAATTTCATCTACATTTTTTCCCTTTAATTTATGGCAAATATGAGGGAATAAGCATATTCTTAGTGTAGTGCCTAAATTAGTAGTCATTAAATAAATTTCCTCAAGTCACAACAGTAAATAAAGGACAAATATTGAATTATTTTCAGAAGAGTTCAAATATTTATTTGAAAACATGATTTACTTGTTTATGTTTAATTATTACTTCGTATTTTGAAATCCGATCAAGTATGAAACTACAGTAGTAAAAGTTTTAACTAATCATAGTAAATAAAGGGACAAATATGGTAAGTAATACGAATTTTAGTGATTTTGTTGAGTGTGCTCGTGCAACTCACGTGTTAATTTTTATGGGTAAAACCTCTGTCTCTCACGTTCTGTGAGTAGGTACCACTTACTCCAAATAATGCAACATTACATTTTGTAGTTGAAAGTATTCAGTAATAATGTATTGTATGAAGGCTTGTCCTAAATATAAATACTAATTGCATTTAAGTAGTATGCGTATTTTAAGTTCCTAGTTAACTTTCATAAAATGCTAAGATGATTTGCGTTTCAGTCATTCCTAAACTCATCACTGAAATATTTCATTTTATGACGACTGTGAACGTTTTGATTCTCTCCGTTTAAAATAACCGCTGTTAAAGTGATTCTTGTCGTCACAGTGGCAATTAGGTTTCCATTATAAAATTTGAAATGGATTCAACAACCAGGTCATAATTTAAAAAATCCCAGATAATTTGATCGAAACACTACCGAACTAAATTACAATTTTAATATTTTCAAAGATTCTGCCACATTCTATTCCAGCAGATCCACACCGCGGAAAGGGTATTTGGTGAAAAGCCATAGTTTTGCAAAAAACCAGAAACTTTATGAATCAGACACCTATTTATTCTTTTACGCTCATAAAGCTTTGAAAAAGGGATTTAGATGTTTGGTAATGAAGCGATTAAATGATATTTCGATCCCACAGCTTTACAAAATCTCATTTTCACTGTCTTTGTATCTAGCTTCCAAGCTCTAAAACCTGGTTGTTTCGTTTTTGAGTGAAATTTTTAATTGTTTTTTGTTAATTGAGGATATTGTACCCCCTTACATATCATTTGATTTCCAAGGAGGGATTTTCAAACTCTTAGGACAATAACTGAAGTTAAAGGCTCCTTCAGTTAATTCTGTCCTAAGTTGTCTATACATAGTATTCAAATCCGTAGACTCTTAATTTTTCTTTTACCCAAGTGATATGATTCCTGAAATTCTTTTGAAATCATGTGTAACAATTACTGGATAGACAACACCTGCTCCAAGTTTTCAATAGGGTACACACAGCTATTCAATTCACTTGTGAAGAGGAAATCCAAGGTAGTATTCCATTTCTGAATGTTCTTCTTACAAAAAGAACAGACGGTACTTTAAAGAGAAACATCTATAGGAAAGCGACGTGGAATGGACAGTACACCCACTTCCATAGCTTCATACCTATACAATATAAGCGCAACCTAATTCGTTGTCTTAGTCATAGAATTAGACGCATATGTAACGACGACTGTATTGAAGATGAAATAAGAAATCTTACAAACGTCTTGCCACAAAACGACTATCCTACAAACTTTGTAAAGAAGTATATCTATGAAACTACACATAAAGCTAAGCGAGACACAGTAAGTATGAAAAAGCTCTATTTAAATTTACAATTCAAAGGCGATATATCCAGCGATATATTAAACCGTAGATTAACGAGATCAACTGAAAGAACTTTTAATGCCGTAAATTGCATGTTATTTTCTCAACCAAACCGATATTGACACTGTGCATTAAAAATAGATTACTCAAAATGGCGAAATCAATGTGTGTATATAAATTCAACTGCTCCTGTGGAGCTAGTTATATAGGTCGTACCCAAAGGAATTTATCTTTACGCACTCGTGAACATGTTCCTGTTTGGCTTGTGAAAAGAGCAACCAAATCATTAAATAGTGCAATTCTGTCCCACCTAGTGGATAGCGAACACAGCATCAAAGTAGATGAGTCATTTACAGTTGTATATCGAGTACCGAACAATCTCCCCAAAGGCATACAATTACGCCTCTTAGCCATAGCTGAGGCTTTAGAGATTAATAGAAAGAGACCAGACCTATGTGTACAGAAAAAAAACTTATTCACTCTCTTCGTCTACCCTGGCCCACTATAAGGTCACCAGGATCATAATTTCTCGTACTTTTATTATCATCATCATCATTTTGTGATACCATGTCTTTATTATCCATTTCTCCACCCAATTTATTTCACCTCATTTTAACCCTTAATTTTTGTCAACCTTTATGATTTTATACTAAGCCTACCAATTCTGTAACATCTTATTACAATTTACAATTTAGCCTCTTTATTTTATCATTAGACATTATCGGTCACCCCTCACATTCAGCGTCCCCTTTGTTAATGTGTGTTTGTATGTATTTTGTGGTTATCGCATTTCTCTCACCCCAATGACACTTGTATTCTGTGCACTATAACCCAATTGTTCATTCACACTTCATCACATTTTTTCTGACTATACACCCTATACACATTTGATTGACTATGTTAACTAATGGACGATCACCTCAACTTACACATGCACCCCAATACAGTTTGTGATATTATTTTCATTTGCCTTCATTGGCTATCTGTACTTTATTATTCATGGATTTATAACTGTAGAGCCTGAAGAAGAAGTTATCGAAAACAATTGTTCGCTCAAAATCTTGTTATGATTTCAATATAGGGATTTTTCATTTACTGAAATCATTGAATTTACATGTTTACATGGTTCTAGAAGTTTTATAAAGTGGTTATATTTCATGAATATTGATTCACAAGGTTATCCAACATAAAGCTTAGCTACTCACAGAGTTTACACATGTGCCATGCAGAAGGATGAAAATTTCAGTGTGATTCACGGTTAAAGTTGATATTTCTTTTAGAATAAGTATACACAGTTTGAGTAATTTTTAGTAATTTCACTGATATCCTGCCTATCATTCACGTAATTTATACTGTTTCAAGGCTCGTCCATGCTCTTTTCAAACTTTTTTTTATTCCTTCACGTTCCCAGTGGAACATAGGGCTTCAGGCTAGAGGCTTGAAGTTTCTTTAGCAGTGTTTATTTTTACAGGATGGGGTTGCTAGCCTCATGCCCAACCTCCCCTCTTTGCCAGTTCTATCACTGGCTTAGCGAGGTAAAGGAGTGCGTCGGTCGGGGATCGAACCCCGGACAATGTGCATGGTCGGCGAGCGTCCTAACCGCTGTGCCACCGACGCACTCTTTTCAAACTTACAGATTAGAAATACCTGTCAAATTGTTAAGTTCACTTTTTCTAAATGCAAATGAATATATTTTATGTGCCTGTTATTGCTCATGTTGAAAATAAGCACTTCATACCAAACTGTTACTGTAAGTACAATGATGAAGATAAGAACATGGTATTGAGGTACCTTCACCTTATTTAGTGTCTACTTATTGAGAATTAAGTAAATCTTCTTCCCTCTATTTCATATTCAGTGTATATGACATTCTTGTTATCCTGATCTGTAAATCATGATAAAATACTTTTCACATGTATCAGTCTGTTTCATTTATATTCTGCAATAATTAACTATTATGAATAATTCATGGAGTCAGTGCTGAGTAAATATATGGAGTATAGTAATGTTAAAGAAAATAAAGATTTTCACCGAAACATCTGAAAGATGTAAGTTCTGACGACAAGTATTAGTGCATTAAATTCCACCAACCAGCTGCAGCAGGGTTTCACTCTCCACTCTGAATTCTTTTCGTGGTTCTAGAACTAAATTTTTAGAGACAGCGTTAACTCACTTGTCATCGTTCCAAAGCATAGCATTATTATAACAAAAACAAACGAAATGAATACCGCTGATACAAAATAGAAATACAAAAGTCCCAACACTACTTAAAAAAATAGATATAATGAAATCCAAAACTGTTGAAAACATTAAGTAATAGTTAGAATTATTTTATGAAGAATATTTTCATAATGAATGTGCTTATTCACAGAATGAGTATTATAATTATTATTGTTCCCTTGAGTTTCGAGTGGGACAACACATTCCCACATCTATTCTTTGCTCACCTCTTCACCTGAGTTCACGACTGACCATAACCTCTCATCTCCTTCTCACCACATGATCTCCTCCACATTATCCTCGGACGACCCACTTGTCGTTTCTCATTTGGGTTCCCCTTGAGGGCCTGGCGCGTGATATCATTCGACAGTCTCCTCGGCGTATGCTCAATCCATCTCCATTTTCTCTTACATGTCTGCTGGTTGGTTTGTTGCTAAAAGTTTCTTGTTACTGATTCTTTCTGGCCATTCGATCTTAAGTATGGAGTGAAGGCATTTGCTGAAAAAGTCTGTTACCTGTATAAAATGCTTTTCGTGATGCGCCGCTTTTTTGACCCAAATAAAAGTACAAACTTACTTTACATTTGTGTTGAAAATCTGAGTCTTGTTCTTTATGCTGGCTGAGTGAAGTAGAAGGTATCCAAACCGGTTTCAGGTTGGTGAAAGCGTATCTTGCCTTTCTGATCCTGAATGGAATTGACATCTTT